AAATTAACATTTTGCATGGGAACAGACGTTAAAGAGTTTTCGGTGGATTCGATTCGTTCGTAACGTTTTCTCGCGCTATTCGACGACTTGCTCGACTCTTTTTACTTATCTTCGATCGATTGAAAATATTTCGCCGAAAAAAATCACCTCAGAAGATATATACATTCATATTTAGATTTAGGCTATTTTTTTTTAATATCTATAAAGTACCATCGATATAATCGTCCAGAGCTCGAAAATATAGCGAAGAAAATTTCAATAAAATTCATATTGAGAAAAAAATAAAATTTTCATACTTAATTATTTGCTATGGAAATACGAATTATTAACTTGACTTTCTATTCCATAATATATGTAAGTTATTTATTAAGACAATAATCTTTGAAATGATTTATCGTCAAGAAAATAAAATTTTCGATATCATAAACAATGTTAATTTTAAAATTACATTTATGATTTTCTTTTTTGTAAATTATTATTGTAATACGAAAATAATTTTTATGTTCAATATGATTTTCAACATGTGGTTCGTCGGTTAAGCTCTGAATCTAACGTTATAGTACTTTTTACATATTAAAAAAACGTCCTACACTGAGGCGCTTAATGGACAAACTTCGACGATATCTTACTTTTAATAACGTACCGTACGTGTGTGTACGAATTATTCTTAACTTGTGTTTGTATTATGTATCTCTGTTCCGCGTACACACACGTACATCTTTACTTAGTAAAATAATAATTTTAAATCTTCATTGCTCAGCACCTTTTCTCCAGCATTACGTATATCTCGTATGATCAAACACTCGATTTCTCTCGATACAAAATATATGTAATTTGATACTCGATGAAACCAAAAACATTACCGTAAATTTCGAATCCGTTGCATTCTTTCCTCATAACGAATATTTCGTTCGCTCGAATTTTCACCAGTTTTAACACCGAAATGTTTTTCAAATTAGCTTAATAGAGAATTCATGTAGATATACTTTACATAAAAAGAGTGTCATTAAAATTGAATAGTTTTGACGCGATAACGAGAAATTGATATTTTTTTTTATCGAAATGGAATTTAATCGAAAAAATTATATGATATTAGAAATTAAGGCATCGATAGTTTTATTTTTTATTTCTTCAATGATAATTATGTTTATATTTTTATAAAAATCTTTTCTCAAATATTTATTAATATCAATTCAAATGAATAAATATATTAAATATTTTATAACTGCAAAAAATTAGGAACTGGAAATTTGTAATTATTCAACATATTGATTTTTATTTTTGATACGACTTGATCGGAATTTGTTTACGTCTTTTTCTCGAATATAGAAAAAGAAAGCGAGTGAACGAGGAAGAACGTCAAAAATCGAAACTCGAAAAATCTTATTAAAGTTAATGAAGTAATAAAATTTTTATTTTTTATTTTGTAATGCAATTTGTATCATCATGTATTTATAAGATTTTTCTGATTAAAATAAGATTATTATATAGTTTGGATTATTTTTTACGTTTAATACATAAAAAAATAGAAAATTTATTATATTTTATTAAATAAATTATTGTAATATTTGAATTTATTTTAAAAAAATATTAATTTTAAAAAAAACAAAAATAAAAATTTTAACAATAAATTAATATTTGATTTTGAATAAGATTAAATTACTCAGATATCGATTTCATGATGTATCAGAAACTTTTGCAATAATATCCGTCCGTCAATTTTGCATTTATAAAATATTTATTTTATTTTGCAAATAATCAATCGTTCATGAATTAAGAAAAAATTATACTCGTCAAAACTATTACAGTTCAAAAAGTTTCCAGTGTAAAGTTTGAATATTCATGTAGATTTGATATATTATTAGTTTGAAAAAACACGAATCAGAGTAGAATTCACGGAAAAGTTTTTAGGATTGTTTCAATGTATCCACGTTTTATATGCGTGTGCGTGAATTTGTGTACACGCGAGTGTGTAAATGCATAAATATATATATATATGTATGTATGTTTTTTCAGGGATAAACACGTATTATTTTTTAATTATTTTTCTCATTTCAGGTTTTCTTACTGGTACGTAATCTCCGATTTACAATTTGCGAGGACGCGAGTAAATTATTCAGGATCTTCTTCTTACTTACAGTTTTATATTACACTCTGTGTATCCTACAATTGCAACAGTGTATAATGAATGAAAAATAAAGGAAATCTTAATTTATTTCTGGTATCGACATTGTTCCTTCTTCTTTATTCCATCCTCCTTTACCAAATATCGCAGAGATTTTTTATAAATATCTTTTATTCCGGCAATCTAGAAAAAATATGCGGATATGTATATTAAAAAATACAGACACTCGCGCAGACACGCATCACGCACACACGTACAATCATTAACGCGACCAAGCAATTCTCGATAGAGGGCGTGAACTCTTGCGCCCTCTCTTTCTGTACAAGGAACGACTCGTGAAGTGAACAGTTCTTCTCGTGTAGTGAAAAAACATGATTCAACTTTTTTTTTTTTCTCGTTCCTTACATAACAAGTATGCACAGAACCGATCAACGGTTTTTCTTCCAAGAAACATCAAAACGTTTCTATATAATGTACGTTTTAATGTAAATTTATTCGTACGTTTCGCGTCTTTTATTCTGTTTAATATCGTATCTTTTTAGATTTATATATCGTTAAAAAGATTTCGCTTTGAAATACACGTAAATACACGTAAATAACATGCAACAAGTAAAACAAAACGAATGAAGCGACGAAAGGACGCGTCAAAATAAAAACACATCGATAAAAAATAAATAAATAATTTGTAAACACGTGCATGATTGTTAAAAAATAAAAAATAAAAATATCTCGAGAAAGAAATCGCGCGCTCTGCCGTTTATGAGTTATCATAGTTTTCATTGATGTATAATTTAACTCGTGCAGCTGCAATAATCGAAAAACTAGAATAGAATGCGGAGAGCAAGCTGTCGTCGAATATGTTTGTCCATACGAACAGAACGTTAACGCGTTCTCGCACTTTTCGGATCGCCGACAATCACACTTTTTGTTCAAAAAATATCACGATATTTACACATTTCATTATTTGACGATCCTGAATAGTTACTCACGCGTTTGGACTGGCGAGCGCCAGCTCGCTTTAATTATAAGTTTTTTTTTTTTTTGGGGGGTGGAAAAAAAAAAAAAAATTTATAAATAAAGGGCGCCCGCGCCCGCCAGCCCAAACGCGGGAGGAATTTTTTCGGAACCAGAAATAACAAAATGTGTAAAAATCGCGATTTTTACACATTTTGTTATTTCTGGTTCCGAAAAAATTCCTCCCGCGTTTGGGCTGGCGGGCGCGGGCGCCCTTTATTTATAAATTTTTTTTTTTTTTTCGACAGGTTTGCGTTTTTTTAATGCGAGGTGTAGAAAACAATAGCAATGAAATAAAAGGAAATCTTGTGTGTCAAAGTAAAGCAGTACGATAGATGGTAATTTTTCTCCGAAAAAGGGAGAAAATTCTACGTGTTTTCATATTTAGCAACGAGAAAAAAAAATAGCCAAGTTATAGACATTCTTCTTTTCATCAGAGTTGCGCTTCTCTATCATCTATCATTTTTATCGTACAGCTTTTAACAGCGCACGTTCTACGCGATGTTAAAAAATTTCGTAAAAGATTTTTGCCTATAGAAGTTCTGAGTTTTTTTTTTTTTTTCTTTAGTAAAAACGAGAGTCTATGAATCTATATGACATTATATCGATGTCCAACGAAGTAATAGCGTTCTGTAAACTCGATAAGTTTTTAAACATTCTGTGCAACTGCGAAATTTCTTTCTTTCTTTTTTTTTTTTTCTTTCACGCTCGTGTCTCGCAGTTTCACGCACAAATAATGCGCAAACACGTCTTCGAAATCACGATAATTTTGACAGTAATTAACCACAATAGTAAAAGCATATAAGCTATACAACTACCATTTCTGTATCTACAATATAGTTTTATGTGTGTGTGAGTGTGTGTGTGTGTATATATATATATATATAT